GATGGGTTTCAGACTGCTGCAGTAGATATCTACAGATTCAAGTTTATACACAAATACATTCTGTTGAGAACCAAAGATATTCATAACAGTACAAAGGCTCAAATAATGAACTTCATTGTAAATCTCTTGCAATATTCTATTTTTAAACTTGTCTAACAACTATGTTTATAATTCTTTCCGTTGCATGAATATATTTTATCAATACATCCACACGGATGTAATGAATTCGAAATAATTTATTTTTATGTTCTCTAAAATCCATTGAAACTCTAGTCCAATCCAAACCAACAAGGGAGAGGAGGAATTATTGACTATTAAACCAGAGAAAGATTTCTGGATCTAAGAATCAAAGGCTTTTCCTAAATCTGAATTTATAAACGAGGTTTAAAGGGACTTTACACAACTTTGATATATAGACATTTTTAAAACATAACAATTACAGAGTTAAAGTTGAAAAATCAATCATATTTGATTTTTTTTTAGATTATGTAAGTCTTAACTTAAAATCCTGACAAGTCCCCTAATATTGTTAAAGCTGATTCAACAAGAATATAAACAGAAAATCCATTAGTGAAAACAAAGAAAACTGTCTCACCACAAACAAAAATTCTTCAATATCAATATTTATATATTATAAAAATTATAAACCTTTCTAATATACTTGGCTGGCTTAAAGGGCAGTTCCCGCCCATCTTCAATTTTTAACACCTGATCTGCGGCATTTTCTTTTCATTAATTATCAAACGATAACAAAATCATTTCGCGGATCTATCGTTTTTTGTGGATTTTGAAAAATCGAAATTCAGACCATCAATAAACCTTCCCTGGGGGCATGTGAGGTCCCACAAAAAATAGATTTTTTACGTTCATTAAATACACATAGACAGACAAGGGAAACAAGCCAAAGAATCTTTTTTGTCAACTGGCCCAGATTTGTACAATGACAAGTATGAAACTCTGACAAGAGTGCTCAACTAGGATGTACTGTACACTATATACTACATATGTACTGTACTGTACTGTACTGTACTGTACACTATATACTACATATACAACTAGGATGTACTGTACACTATATACTACATATACTGTACTGTATTGTACACTATATACTACATATACAACTAGGATGTATTGTACACTATATACTACATATACAACTAGGATGTACTGTACACTATATACTACATATACTTAACTGTACTGTACTGTACACTATGTACTACATATGTAGTGGTAATTGTCAAAACTGATTTTTTTGGCTATAACTTTATTTAGATTAAGAATAGGGATAAGGACTTTATATCTTTTGCTTGATTTTCTTAAAATTTGCTTGGTTGAAGTTTGGTAAGTTTTTAATGTACTGTACAATGTGCATTGTACATATACAACTAAACAACTTTATATACAACTCTATATGAGTGTACACATACAACTAAACAACTGTATATACAACTCTATATGAGTGTACGTATACAACTAAACAACTGTATATACAGCTCTATATGAGTGTATATAAAACTAAACAACTGTATATACATCGCTATATGAGTGTATATAAAATTAAACAACTGTATATACATCTCTATATGAGTGTATATAAAACTAAACAACTGTATATACATCGCTATATGAATGTATATTAATTATTTCCAACTACTTTGAAGGAAAATTAAGGGATTTTTACATTATCAAGGGTTCTTAAGACCAATTTTGGCCGAGGGAACCCGCGGTTAAGTGAAATTGTTAATTTCCCGAAAAAGGAGTTTTACACAATTTTATCGTCTTTTTGAGATGAAAATGCGCTTAGTTTTTCCTGCAAACTTTGCAGAACGGGTGGTTATTTTACATAACTGTCCCAAGGAACGTTAAGTAACCTAACCTCCCTCTGTTGGGGGATTCATATGTCGGTAATACTTGTCAAAGGCGGTAAAAAACTAAACAGCTGTATGTAGTAAACGCCTACTCCATAACAATTTCTCGAAACGTATTTATCCAGGTACAACTCAGATTCTCTTAACTATCAATTTCAACACACGGCTATAATCCAGTGAACTATAAACGCCACTACCAATGGGCGCGATCTCGTTAGCTATGGGTGTCAATACGGACACTGGCAATCAATTGATCAATGTCTCAACTATGACACTATTCACACTTAGCTCTAAATGCCACACAGGGGGACACAAGCATAGCTATCAAACAAGCTTTTACTCGATCTGTACCGAATGCCTAGGTACGATCTCAGCCCATATGTTTCAACGAGGACGCAATTACTCTACACTGTAATCAAAGCGGAGTTTCTATATTAACTAGTGTATTTCTCCCATGTAGATTAGAATTGGGCCTTTAACAGGGTAGTTACAAGTTATGCGCTGTTATATATATAATGTAGTTAAGCAATCAGTCACAATATGGGTATGACGGAGTTACATTGAATGGGTTAATCGCAATACATTATTTATGTATTTACTAAATAAAACTAAACAACTGTATATACAGCTCTCTATGAGTATATAAAACTAAACAACTGTATATACATCTCTACATGAGTGTATATAAAACTATCAATAACACAAGAGTAATGAACTTCTGGTGCCAAAAGACTGGACAAAACTCACTCAAGGGTCAAACCTACAGTAATGTTGAGAAATGAACTACATTAGAAACATACTCTGTATGTTATTTTCTGAGAATATAATCAGATTCTAGTTTACAGATTAAGCTGTGTACAAAATATGCAACATTTTATGAGGAATCTGATCTAATTTTTTTAATGTTTGAAAGATGTAAAACACTCAAAATTATTTTGGAAACCCCAACCACGAATGTTACAGATTTTTGAGTGATAAATTCATGGGGAATATACTTGGTTATGAGTTAAAAAAAAACTCTAAGGATTTTGTACTGAATTTTTTGTCGAAAAATCTTTTTTTTTGTGAAAAGCCTTAGTTTTCAATATGAGCACAGACTGCTAAAATAAAAAAATTAATTGCCATTTTCAGTTGTATAACAAAAAAAGGATTTTTCCCAAAAAAAAGCAAATTAGGAATTTTTTTTACGTGACTTAGTTTTTTCTCACATAAAACTGGAATAACAATGAACCAAATCAACTAAAGTTCTTGAACCAACTAAATAAATTAGAAAAAATTAGAAACCACATTTTAAAAAGCTCAATTTCAAAAATCTTAAATCATTAAGGTCGAGTTTTCCATTTTATCCAAAAATACGCCGGAAACAATTCTGAATATTGTCATTCTTTTGACATTATGAAAGATGTTTGATTAAAGGCAAAAAAAATTTTTGTTGTAGGGGGGGGAGGTTTTCCTCTTGAATCCAGCTCTTTCTTGGTACTCATATTTTGTTTAACTCTTAGACTTAATGGTTTTCATTGGGATCAGAGATGGAATTGTGTGCCCCCCCCCCCACGTAGTGATATACTTACACGTTTTTTTTCTCTTGTATTTGTGGATTAATTATTGGAATAAATCAGAAAATTGGAAAAAATTGATCTCTTTTAATTTTTAGTGAGAACTTTAAAATTGTGGAATATAAAGACGACATAAACGTACTGATTAAGTGCATTTGATGTTGTTACATAGTAAATAGTTTTACTGGTAACTTATTAAATCAGTTTAAGTAAATCAGTTTAAGTTTCCACTGCACAATTGCTGTGTCTCAGTTCTTTAAAGTCATAACTTGAGTCTTAAAGTCGTCTTGTTATTCCAGAGTTTTCTGGTCTCACCGTACATATATAAATTAGTTTAATATCTTTTTATAATGTTTGTTTGTCCGATCCCAACTCAGGAACCCCTTGACCGATTTCCCTCAAATGTTGATCGGCAAAACCAAGGGAATATTTTTATAGAGAGAAACTTAGGTTCCCGGCAAAGGTGGGTTCCCAGGCTAGTATTACATAAAACTTTTGGACTTGTGCAAGATGGATTGGATACATAGATAAAAGATGGATTGGATACATAGATACAAGATGGATTGGATACATAGATACAAGATGGATTGGATACATAGATACAAGATGGATTGGATACATAGATACAAGATGGATTGGAGCATTTTTATCAAAACTTGCCCCATTGTTTAAACCTTTATCAGACAATAAATTTCAAGCTTATAAAAATTTTTACAATTTTTTTTATTTACATTAATACTTTAAATCATTCATCATCATTTAATCATAATTGCTTTAGTATCACTCGTGGTACAATATATAAAGGTACAATTATACCTTTATAATTATACATTTTATACATCATTATGGTTTAAAGAAAGGGAACATGAAAATATCATTAAAATATACAATGTTGAAAGCTTCTAATTTTGAAATCATTTAAAATGTTCAAAATGATGATAAAATATTTTTGATAAATCTGATCAAACATCAGTCAGATATTGCTTGTCTAAACCATTCCATGGGACCAACATTAATGTAATAAATTGGTGATATTTTATTTTTTAAAGTTCCAATTTTCATCATATCGCTTCATGAACATTTGCTTTCCTTTTAGAATCGAAAGAAAAATATATTTCCGCGCCGTTACATAACTTTAATTTGATAATTACTGGATAAATCCACATCTCTTTATCCATTTCTTTGATTTTTTTTTATAAATTTATCAAGATTTAACAGTTATTAAATGCCTTAAGAAACTAAAGTTTATAACCAAATAATAAGAATTTTTTAAAAATGAAGAAAAAACTGAAATGTGAATCGGTGATGGCACCCTGTAATCAAAGCAAAACTTTAAATTTCTTTCACATTCCATTAACTAAGAAAATCCTTTAACTAGCAAAATTAAGATTTGAAAAAATTGCTAAAGGAATTGACTCTTTGCCACAAACTCTGATTTTCTAATCCCAATATCTTTGGAACCCAATGTCGTAAACCTTTGATATTTCAAACTTATGATTTTTTATCTAACAAAAGCCATAGTTTGAAATTTCAAAGGTTTACGACGTTGGAATCTAAAGATATAGGGATTAGAAAATCAGAGTTTGTTGCAAAGAGTCAATTCCTTTAAACTTTTGCGAAATATTTTTGTATTTAAATTACTTAACAAAACCATCCCAAGGACACAGAGTAAGCATAAGATCCCGTAAAAATAATAAAAGTAAAAAGAGCGGTTAATAATTAAATAATTAAAATAATTAAACCCAATTTAATATTTTAATTTGAAAACTATTGTTTCAAAATGTGCTCGAACTCGGATTTAACTGAGAAATGAGTTAAGGGCAAGAATCACAGTGAGGTAAGTAGATACCATAATGCTGGGACTGGTATTAAACGACAAACAGTCCATCTTCTTTAACGAGTCCAACAAAAGTCCATCAGAATCCATGCATCGAGCCTGACGTAGGTCCCTGATTATGGACCAACACTCTCCTTGGTCCAGGTCCATGTAGTGCTGACCGCACATTTCGCCGCGCCATCGTCTTAGCCACTTCCCCAACCATCTAAAAATAGGAAATTACATTTTTAAATGTTGTTAAGACGAAATGGACCCTCCCTGTAATGTTGAGTTTAGTAACGTTCAGTTTTTTATTGGCAAAAATTAGATTACATAATTTTTGCCAAATTGTTTATCAATTGCAATATTTGTTTATCCATTGTGAAGGAGGGGAGGAGGGCGAGCCTCAACAATTTCTAGTCCGAGCCACATTCTCCTCATTTTCTCGTCCAAGCCACTTCGAAATGTTACTCCTTCCAAGATAAAACTATTTTTTAAGAATTGGACACGTTATGGCATTAATGAAATATTGAATTTTTGTAAATAAAAAAAATAGTTTCATTTGAATTAAAGTTTTCGAGTTCAATGTCCCTAAAACTGTTCACCTTTTTTACGCGCATTTTCAGATATTCCTGGTGTAGAATGCCGCAAATAATTCCGAGTATATAGAACTTTAAATCTTTTTGTTAATTATAATTCAAACTATAGAATTTTTTAAGATTGTTCCATGGGGAAAATGATAGGCAGAGGTATGCCGAATATTTTGCTATTTATTTTATATCACGAAGGTTAGCCATTACGGAGGCAGAAAGGATTTAAGATTTGTCTAAATAAAGTTTGACATCATTCTCATGGGGTTAAAGCATCCATCATGCTGTTATCATTGCAATACTTTAGTCTATCCATATTATATGCCCTAACCCGGCCAGATCTAAAAAAATAGTATTATCTTCAAGAATTATAAACTTTAAAACACATAATAATCAAAGGACGACGATTTCGAGGTGGCTCGGACGAAAAAATGAGGAAAATGTGGCTCGAACGTGAAATTTTTGTGACTGGCCTTCCTCCCCTCCATCCAAATGTCATATCTGATTCACTCATTGAGCCATTATTTGAGTAACAATGAGCAATCAAAAGTGTCGAATTATGACAGTTTTCTGCGTTGTATCTAGATGGTGATTGCTACTAATCTTACTTGTATCTGTTGCGTCTATTAGGAAAAAAATTGAAAAAAGAATAATACCGAAGAACGCAGCGTCCATACAAATTCAGAAAGTTGCAATAATCGACTTGAATCGTTAAAAATCAATATGATTCCAAACAAATCATTCACATATTACAACCTATAATCATCGATTTTTTCCGACGCAGTACTTGGTTGATATTTCATCACATTTTTGATTTTGTTTTTATTAAAACTAATATTTCGCTTATAACTTGTTTAACAGCTAGCGCTGTTTTTTTAACATTCCTGGAAAATATGAAAATGTCTCCTTAATTATCAAAAATCCTCGAAACGGAATCGAATGTTTTCAAAAGTAACTCTCAGATCATAAAAAATAAAAATATTATGAAATATCAACTATATACGAATGCGTATAGAAAAAATTGATGATTTTAAGTTGTATTATCTAAATTATTTGTTAGGAATTAAATTTTCTGAATTTGTACGGACGCTACGTTCTTCGGTGTGAATCGTTTTTAACAATTTTTTCCTTAAAGACGCAACAGATAGAAGTAAGATTAATAGCAATCACCATCGAATAATTTTCGACGTAAGCCTATACCCCCCGTTAATTTTTCGTGAACACTCCCTTTAAAATTACGTCTTCAGTTTTTTTGAGAATAAATGCTTGTGAGATTTGAATTACATTGTTCGTATACATTTTATATATTTAAAGTAGTATATATATATATTTATATATTTTAAGTATAAATATTATACATGATAGAAAGAAGTATAATGGAAAGCACTGCAGTATTGTTCTATAGTTAACCCTACAAAGTATAGCATCTAAACATTAACTCATAACATACGGGGGGGGAGGGAGGAGGTATTTTTTTCTAAAGTATGTTTTGAAAGATAAAGCCCGCGCCAAAGACAAATATTTTGTAAAAGAAAAAAGAAAAAAAAAACATTTAAATAATGACGCGGCGGCAAGTTTGCAGTTTTGTATTTTTTTTAAAAAATGCATTTTAAACACTAATCGGAGACCACCTTTTGGAAATCCCAGGACTAGGGTTATTTTCGATTATTGGTTTAAGAATTATATATTTAGTAAAATAAGGTTCTGTAATAAATGCTGACCATATCTTGATCAAAAAGGGCAACCTTTCATATTCTACCAATTATGAAATTATCTTATTTTATATATTTATATATATATATATATATATATATATAGGACAAACATATGTAGCGGATTGCTTCAGGATCGGTAAAGAATGAATATTTGTATATTGTGTGGTAGACTGCTAATAAAGATATTAAGAATTTTTAAGTAAATATTTATTTTATACATATAGGTGGAGATAGATAGAAGTTATACACATCTTTCATTCTACAGTTATGGAAATACAGGGAGTTGTAGAAAACATGGGAATAAAATGACGACCTTAAAAGAACTGTAATTTCAAGTGACCCTAAATGCAAAGATGGCAATGCCTCATTTCAAACGGGACTCTTGAAATCTTAATCTAAACAAAATAGTGATGGATAGTTTCTCCATTGCTTCTTAAAAATTAAGAAATGCGCAAGTCACTTTCGCAGAGAAACTGCAAATGAAAATAAACATCGAGTTGAGCTGAAAACTTTAGAATGTGATATCCTTAATCCCGATCTGTTAATTAATCTGGAGATTAATAACAAGAGGAGAACAAGCATTATTTAATCTTAAGATTAAGAGAAAGAGTGGATCAAGCCTTAATCCCGATATCCACCATTCAAAAGTTCCCAGCTCAGTGTAAAGAAACAAAAACATGGATATCTAATTCATACTTGATCAGACAACACTTTCAAGGGTGCCGTTGTAAATCGGGAATAGCCGAACTCGTCTTGAAATTATAAATCACTATTAATAAGAACAATCTTTATTCTGGTATTTACCGCTTATGGTCTTTTAAAAATAAAAATAAAAGGCTTATAGATAAAAAGATATGATTGTGAAAATACATTGAAATTCTAACGTTAAAAATTAGGCTGATTTTAAATTATATACTGATTTAGTCTTTTTACTTAGACCTGTACTGTTCGTAGTTACTACTTTATACTTCTTTAATTGTTGGACTGTATGATTTTTTAAAGTGCAGTATGAGTTCTTATTAGTCTTGAACGGTCCGGATGACATTAAATATAAAGTAATTGAGTCTTTTCCTCAAACTCAAATTTTCTAATCTCTATATCTTTGCAACCTTCAGTGATGTAAACCTTTGATATTACAGAAATTTTTGAGAATGTTTCTTTAGATATTTTTCGAAAAATCAAAGAAAATATTGATCGATTTAGAGGAATTTATAATTTTTTCAACCAGCGTAATCTGGAGAATTAATGCTCTAACGCTGGTATTAAACATTATGCTTTATGCTTGTTCCTGTATCATGATGTAAGTAAGTATATAAATTATATTTCTATGATAAATAGATATAGATATATATCTGTACTCAACAAACGTGAACATATACGAATATATTATAGATGAAAAAATACCTTCTAGAAGCTGTTCATACAAGTTACAGGGTAGCAACTTTTTAATAAATAATCACAATTTTTAAAACATTTTTAATCTTAAACCGATTGATAGCGAAGTAAAAAAGAGAGTTTATCATCTGATTGCATATCATTGAATTAAATTTAGATGATCAATTTACCCTGTGAGTGGCTTAGAAAACCAAAAATAATTTTTAAAGTGCAAAATTTCTCAAATTTCATTATTCGTTTTCTTACATCTTAGTGTATTGCAGTTTGTTGTAAAATGTTTGAGTAATGTATGTTCAAAAAAGGATTTTACAGTTCAAAAATATTTCTCTCTTATTTTATTTGGTGTAAAATTGTATCATTGTATCATAGTATCATTGTATCATTGTATCATAGTAACATTGTATCATTGCATCATAGTACCATTGTATCATTGTATCATAGTACCATTGTATCATTGTATCATAGTACCATTGTATCATTGTATCATTGTATCATTGTACCCTTGCACCATTGTATCACTTTAGGTTTGTTAGAAAGAATTTGTTTAAAAAATAAGTAAACTTTTGGATAAAAAAACATTTTTTGGGACAAGTTTTTGTAAAAAAAAATATTTTGCATCCTCAGAGCCCTAAAAACCTCATTTGTTAGAGCTGCAAGAAAAATTGATGTTACACTTACCCCATACTATCACAGTTACATGGGTATAACTTGTCCCCTAGATTCAACCCCTCTAGGAAAACCGAATATGGAGCTCCCAGGGTGTAACTAGAGGCAGGGTTCTCTAGTACTGCAGACACCTTACTCCTGAGATAAATTAATCAATTAAAAAGCATTGATTTATGATTGATTAAAAATAATGTTAACGTATTTTCAAGAGACAAGTTTTGTAAATTTGATACCTTGAATCTAATGCATTATTAGCTCACAATTAGAAATTGTTTTACTCTTTAAATAGAGGGTCATTTGAAATTACGCTGACTGTCCCTTTAAATAGAGGGTCATTTGAAATTACGCTGACTGTCCCTTTAAATAGAGGGTCATTTGAAATTACGCTGACTGTCCCTTTAAATAGAGGGTCATTTGAAATTACGCTGACTGTCCCTTTAAATAGAGGGTCATTTGAAATTACGCTGACTGTCCCTTTAACCCGATTTTAACAATACTTTATCTAGAGACGAATATGAATATTCAGATGAATTAATAAAAATATTTTGTTTAGAAAATCAAGCGCAGCAGCAATTGCTATATTATAGGTCTACGCTCACAGGCAGCCGTAGTACATTTTAATTTCCAAACCGGGTCAACCTTTCCGGTCCCAGTTTGTACTGTATCGCCCGGACATTGGGTAAATAAAGCAGACACTTAATAGGACTAGCTGGTGAAACAAGGTTGAAGCGGTCAGACTTTAGGTTGAATTTACTTTTACTAAAGGGTCAAAGTAAAACAAAATAAAAATTTCATGTACTTTCTCTATTAAGACTTTTTTTTGGGGGGGGGGCGGGGGGGTTACTCGGCACAATCCCCCAAACATTTCCCAAATATAGTTAGTTTTGGATATTCACCTGTTTCCTACTCTTCCTGCCAGGTTTAAAGTAAGGTTCTGAGCTCGACCAAGATTTAAAAATAAATCTCGCTCAACCAGGATCTTATCCGAGATCAAGGTTAAACTCAGCTCTCTGCTCTGTAAACCCTGAAATAAAAATAATAAGTTAATATTCTTGACCTTAAACTTCTTCTAATCAATTTAACCTCTTATAATGTCTATTGCGTATAAAAAGAATATATATAAGCCAAGATGGTTATTAAGGATATCCTATACTGGCTGAATCAGAATTGAATCTGAAATTGATCGCCACCAATTTCACTTTTCCATAGCGTCTGCGTCTGTAATGAGGAAAATAATGAAACGTGTTGTTAGCTGTAAACCAGAGAATCTATGTAAATTCACAGAGTTGCAATTTCCAAGATTTTATTGCGAATTAAGAGCTTTCTTTCTAAATATCAAAAGTCGATAAAATTGACTGTTTTTATTTTTCAGTGCTGTCAAATTTTATTTAGTAAATTTCATTTTCAGATTGGAATTAAATCGGGCTTTATTATCAAACTTTATTTTTCGACTTTGTAGGGTCAGCCTTGTTTGAAATTCCATTTTAGTAGAGCCAGTATTATTTTGATTTAAAAATGATAAAAGTGAAACATTCTTTGAATTGTCATACATAAATAAAGACAAATGAGGCGAAGTTTTATTTTTTTTTGTGACGATTTTGTACTAAAAAAAGAAACTTTACGACAAATATAATAAGTTTTAACACTACCTACCAAGATAGCGGGGGAAGTGCTAAATAAAAATGTTTAAAAATGTTTTAAAAAATCTTAAATCGAAAACTTTGTAAGTTTTTGTAATCTATAGATTATTGGTTAGCTGGAAATTTTAAGGGTCTGCTGGTGATATTTACAGAGGTAATTTATATTGGAATATGGATATCACACGTTCAGAGGTAGATAGATAGATAGATAGATAAAAGGATAGATAGATATAAGAATAGATAGATAAATAGATAGATAGATAGATAGATATATAGATAATTATATAGATAGATAGATAGATTGATAGATAGATAGACAGATAGATAGATAGACAAATAGATAGATAGATAGATAGATAGATAGATAGAAAGATAGATAGTTAGATAAATAAATAGATAGATAGATAGATTCAGAATTTGTAAATTCAATTTTTAACCTTCTTTTTGCAAGTTCAAATTGCCTATACAATTTTCTTAACAAAGAGAAATGTACTCAAACCATGAATAAATGTGGTCTATAATTCTCATTGGGTAAAAACCCCTCTAAAAACAAAAGCTTAGGAATTCTCCGAACTGTCCCTTACTATTTTGTTTTCGTAGATAAACATTGTCCCAGGACAGGATAAATCATATCTATAAATGTGAGTTATAAATCTGCCCTTGGTTAAACCTTTTAGTCGAATTGAATTCTGATTTTAGAGATAAATCATTCAAACACTTAGCGTTGAACAAGGGTAGAGATTTCTTTAGCCCAAGGAAACTAACAATCAATACAGCTTAATTCACAAATATTTTCAAACTTTTCTTAATTCACAAATATTTTCAAACTTTGCTTAATTCACAAATATTTTCAAATTTTGCTTAATTCACAAATATTTTCAAACTTTGCTTAATTCACATTTGCTTAATTCACAAATATTTTCAAACTTTGCTTAATTCACAAATATTTTCAAACTTTGCTTAATTAGGATTTAAGATTCATATTGTTCAATCTAAAACATCACAAAAATGAGAGTTATTTTTTTGTTAAATTGAGACGTAAAAGAATTTTATGCAGAATTAACATTTCTAGTTTCCCTTTTCAAACCAAGAAGAGTGAAAAAGGACAATATATAACGCTAAAATTGTTGTGAGGATACGGGTGCAAATCGCCATTAAAAGCCTAATGTTATATTTATATCTATAAAAGGTTTCAATATATTTTCTCTTTGATATAGATTTTATTTACAAGAAGAGTTGGATTGAAAACATTCCATATTTCAAACTGAAATCAGATTAACTTAAGTATAAAGTAACTGTAGACGAAATTTCAAATGACCCTCCAGCTATATGAAGACTGAGTCACAAGTGTGCTATTAAAAGCTCAATAAGCATGAAAAGACTGGATTTCTATAATTTCTTTTTTTAAATTGATTATTTATAATTGTGATTTTTGCGGATATCTTGATTTAGAAACAATGGAGACATTGTAAGAATTCAAACATGTCATGAAATTACACAGACAATCCGTTTAATGTATGACCTACCTTAAATACTGCTGGATGAAGGTTTGTAATGGTTTCACTTGTAATAATAATATGTTTCAGTTTATCTGGTAGACCAGAATCAGGACTGGAGCTGGATAGATGGTTTTTTAAGGAGGCTCCATTCGAGTGTATATGGAGAACCTCCAGTGCAGGGTTGGAATGGAGAAGGTCTCCCAGATTCTCCAGTTTGTCTTGATTAACTTTACAAAAAAATTAAGTTTTTAAAAGTACCTCTGTTCGGTAAGGAAATTAGTTTTTGCAACAAAATCGAATTTTATAATTCCAATATCTTTGCAACCCATTGTCCTACACCTTTGATATCTAAAACTATAAATTCTATTAGATCAAAACGTCTAATTTTGACATATCAAATAATTACACCATCAGGTTACAAAGTATAGGAATTAAAACATTCGAGTTTCATGTGCAAAAACTAATTTCCTTTCAAATTCTAAATTCTTTGGCATCTGTCAGCAAAAAATTATGGAAAACATTTTTAATTTTAGATTAGGAGATGTGCACATTAAACACAAGAGAAACATTTCAAAATTACGTATGCTTTTTTATCCATTTTCCTGGATAATTTATTCCAATCTTGAAACGGAACCTTATTATAAGAAGAAGCTGTAGTGTTAAGCTGTACAAATGTATTGGAATATATATATATGTGTATATAACTATATAACAATAATCAGAACAGCTATCATATATATATATATATATATATGTGTGTATATATATATATATATATTGACCTGATATTGTTAAATGTTTCAGGTTGGGTAGAGTTGCGAAGCTCCCACTCTGAAAACAAATATTTTAAACAAAAATAAAAATTGATTAAATTTTACCATTTTTACAAAGTTTGAACCTTTTCTGAAACTTCTAATATCATTCGTATGGTTAAAAGGTTACTTTTTCAAATCATTGAAAAATGATTTAGATTTAGATAATTTAGATAATTTCAGTCATATTACTTGATAAATTTAATCAACATTTATAATTTGTTTTATCTATTTTTTTCATTTTTTTACAATTTATATGTCTTGTAGACATGAAACCCCTTAAAAATCCGATTTTTTTGGACTTTAGAAAAATTAGCTTTTTATCCAAAAAATATCTTCAAAGTTCTCCCTTTTTTAATTTCTTTTTAAATTTGAAAGGAAAGTTTAAAGTAAAATGCTAGAAAGCTGAAAACTTTAATATTTTCGAAACAAATAAATCCAGATTTGATTACACTCAGAGAACTCTCTCAAACTATTTCAAAAAGTGAATTTCCAATTTTTATTTATTATTTACAGATTTGCAAGCCGCGCTGCATCAAGTAGATTGAAGAAAACTTAAAATAACAAATTTTAAGAAAATTCTTTTCTTGATTTGTAAAATATTTCTATATGACAGGGTGTACCAATAAACATAGGATTTGAGTGACTTTATGACGTTCTTTGTATTATTGTATTATTTGTGTAATACCTAATTTCATAATAAAGTTTCGTCTGCCAGATTATATTTTATGTTACCAGTAAAACTGTATGTTGTCTTTGCAAAATTTCTGCAAGATGATCGAACAGAAAAAAGGAAAAAACTTTGTTTGTATACAGGATATTTTCTCAATTTAATACAGTATAATAGTATCAAGGGCGTATACAGGAGGGGGGTTCTTCTTAAAATAAAGAATAAAGGAAGAACGAAGGTTTAATTTGCAGGTTTAACTTCTTCATATTTTTTTCTTCTTCTACAATGTTGTCGGTTTGTATGCTTCTTTCTTACAAAGTGTACTCAAAATTGTTTTAATGCTCAACAAACATGTTTAAAACTAATAATCAATGTTTTTTTTCATTTCTTAGATTTAAAGTTTAAGCGGAGATCTAGAAATCTTTCCTCAATTTCCATGTTTACTGGGACACCCTGTAGGTGTTGCCGTCACAAGTTTCTTGATTTGATTAAAGTTTATCAATTAAGTCAAGGTTTAGAAGGTCTCCAGGTCCTACTAAACCCTGGGATACTATTATCCAACCCCAGATATACAAACTATACATTTAATATTCATAATGTGTAAAGTTTCTAAGTTAAAACAATCAACACATTTAAGAGAAATTATCTGAAGTTTAGAATATTTTATCAAGTTTTACAGTAAGAGAGATTTTCTAAAAGCTTGGGTTAAGGATATAATAACCAGACAAGCTTTCTTTTTTCTCATAAACTAGGCTTCTAAAGGGCCTCGCGCTACACTTTCTTGTTTTAATACATAATTAGCTGATATTTTGATATATTGTTGCTGATTTGTCTGCAAAATAGTTTAAAGATTCAGCCGGTTTAAGGTCTATTGCGTTAAAATAAAGTCTTCCGTTCCTTTATTACCTCTACGTTTGTTAGCTCTAGTCCTCCTAGATCTAGTCTTTGCAACCTGTCCAGGCTTAGGAAGCTTTCATTCTTGATACTCGTCATAGGGTTGTAGGACAGAGACAGGGAGGCGAGGTAGGGAAGGATATACCATACGTTGTGAGGAGGGGAGGGCATCGAGTTCCAGGATAAATCCAGTTCACGAATATTTGACATGTTTGCTTCAAATATTAAAATATTCAAGAAATGATTGAATAATTTGCATCCTTTGAACATTAAGAATGTTTCAATATCTAAAATAATTTAAAAATTCCTATAAAATTGCCATGTCATGTTTAAAGAATTAGATTAATTTGATATTTATATTTGCCTAGACTGCTGGAGGGCACAAAGGTCAGCTTGTTCAGTGACATATTTAGGCTAAACATTAAAACAACAATCATTATTTGAAAACAAAGAAAAATTTGAAATTACCAAAAAAAAATTACTCCAGTGTCCTAATTTAATAATTTGATCCGCGGCTTAAATCTGCCAAAAACCGGTTTCAATTGAGCGACAGCTTAAATCTTGAAAAATTTAATACAACTTTAAGTGAAACCAACCATATTTGATCCGCGGCTTAAATTTAAGCCGCGGCTCAATTTCTTTAAATTCGGCCTCAGAGATCATAAATTGATCTGTTCAGAACGCTCTCAACTGATCCCATGTTCCATGGCGGTTTGACTTAAATCCTTGATCTTTGAATCATCTAATGACTATCTCTTGCTGGATTTTTCAAATATATTCATAATTGAACATGAAAAGTGTTCATGCTGTGGATATAGAATTGAGATTCTGGTGGTTAAGTGCACTGTGGATATAGAGTTTAGTTCTTTGTGGCTGAGCGCTTATACTTACAAAAAAAAGGGTTTAGCCTTTCTGTATGTTTACAGAGCTGAAAACTTTAGAATAGTGGATATCGGGATTAATGCTTGATCCTCTCTTTTTTTTAATCTCCAGATTAAATATTGCTTGTTCTCCTCATGAATTTAATCTCCAGATTAATTAACAGATCGGGATTAAAGATATCACATTCTAAAGTTTTCAGCTCAGATCAGATAAAAAATACAATCTTTTTTGTCAAATTATTTGATAATCTTTACCTGATTAGTTCTGGTAGGTTTAGATTAGGGAGTAAGGACAAGGATGTATTTGAAAGATCTAGATGCTCAAGCTGTGTTCCCACTCCGTCTAGTAACTCATCAGAGAACATCTGAATTAAACGGAGTATTCATCAATTTTTATTCTGAAGACGAAGTGTAATGAGTTCAATAGGAACATTAATGTCAAAAAAACCTTTAAATCAAGATCAATATCAGAGTCTCTGACAAAAGTCTAAATCAATCTTGTCTTAAAATCAATGTTATAGAAAAGGTCAATTTTATGGTCAAGGTCAATGTTATGGTTGAGGTCAATTTTATAGTCAAGGTCAATGTAATGGTCAAGGTCAATATTATGGTCAAGGTCAATGTAATGGTAAGGGTTAATGTTATGGTCAAGGTCAATATTATGGTCAAGGTCAATGTAATGGTCAGGGTTAATGTTATGGTCAAAGTCAATGTAATTGTCAAGGTCAATGTAATGGTCAGGTTCAATGTTATGGTCAAGGTCAATGTTATGGTCAAGGTCAATGTTATGAACAATATTAATGTAATGGTCAGGGTCAATGGTATGGTCAAGGTCGATGTCATGGTCAAGCTTAATGTTATGATCAAGGTCAATATTATGGTTAATTCAATGTTAAGGTAAGGTCCTGGTCAAGGTCAAAACCAAGGTCATATTTAAGGTCGGTTAAGGACAAGGTAAAAGTCAGGTTTAATGTCGCAGTCAAGGTCAAAGTCAAGATCAAGGTCAAGGTCAAGGTCTAGATCAAGTTCAAGGTCAAGGTCAAGGTCAAGGTCAAGGTCAAGGTCAAGGTCAAGGTCAAGGTCAAGGTCAATTAATGAGGATGTACTACCTGAAGTGGATTGTGAGAAAGAGAGAGAGAAACCAGTTCAGGAAGACAGCAGAATGCTCTACAGAAAACATTAATAAATTTTGTTTTGTTTACATCTTTCCTACAGTTAAACTTGAAAATAAAGAAGTTTAGCACATACGCAGATACAGAATTTCTGATTCTGAAAACATATTACGATCTGCATACTGCTGTGAACTATTTGTATATCACCAAGCATTGCGTATTTATGAATGCATTAATTAAAATTTCTATCAACCTTCCCATTTTTATGTTATTGCTTTTTGTTAAAAAATCTGAAAAGAGAAATGTGCACTTACCTTGAATCGATCTCTTTAATCCTATTGTTTGATAGGTCTAGGACCACCAAACTACGGATTTGACTAAGCTGAGACTCTAAATATTTTCAATATATGTTAAAATTATAATATAGCTTGTTAAAATTGTTAGGTTCGGAGAAGAAAAAGCTTCCTGAACCATGTGAAACTAACCTAAATTCCACGTAAGATTGAGATTATATATGTTTTCAATCATAACCCCTCTTAACTTATTTAAGAGCTATAGAGAAGAATAAAAATGTGTTTTAATTTCTGATATGTAAAGGAACAAATTTACTTCTTCTTTTGAGTAAAATTAAGACAAGAGAAGCAACAAACAAAGTTGTACCGGTACACTGTCATCTTGCCAGGCTACATTTGTTTAACAAAACGTGCTGGATCGACTCTACACTGCTGTAGTCCAGACTGGACGGTACGACTGAATATTGTACCGGCTTGGAACACACAACTTTTAGAGTGGGGTTGATAATGTCGCATGAATTTGACCGTCTAGCTCCTTCTGTCGAGTTTGGAGTGTCAACTTTAATTCAAATCAAAATTATAAAATTTACTGACATTTTGTTTACATTAGTCTTACACCTCTTGATCCTACCTGATATTAAAGTTATATTGTTTCTTGATCCTACCTGATATTAAAGTTATATTGTTTCTTGATCCTACCTGATATCAAAATTATATTGTTTCTTAATCCTACTGATATTAAAGTTATATTGTTTCTTGATCCTACCTGATATTGAAGTTATATTGTTTCTTGATCCTACCTGATATTAAAGATATATTGTTTCTTGAAAGATCCAAATGCCTGAAGTCACACAAATTAAACATTTCATATTTACATTTAAAAGTAATGGTGGTATTAGCAAAACTTAAGAAGTACAACGAACGCAATTTCAACTAATCCTCCATTTATTGAGGAGCATATCTGACTCACAAAACTTTGCCTGATCAAGAATGAATGAGATATTCATGCTTTTTACTTTGAAAAGTGATTATTCTCAATTGTGGTTTCTTAAAAAAAGTGGTTTGCGGATTTATGCTGAAAAAACAATGGAGGAAATTGTGAGAATTAAACCTTTAATGGCTGCGTGAGGTGCCAAGAATTAAAAAAACATGAGAATAATCTGTGTTCCTGAGAGTGCTCTGAACAGGGTTTAAAGCTTTGACCGGTATCTCCATGAGTAGGTTTGAACTAATCTTGAATATCTCTAGTCTACAAACCTACATACACAATCCATTCTTACACCATCACTGTATTGGAAACAGATACAGATAAATACGTAAACAGGGATAGTTAGGTAGTTAGCTAGATATACCTAGATAGATAGATAAATAGTAATACAGTTGGATACTTAGTTAGCTAGATCGATAACTCGTTATTATAGGTATACACTTTACAGAGAACTAGTCTTTTTAAAAGGATATGATTAAGATAATACATATTTACTGGCAACTGAGTCCTCAGGCCAGATTAAACAATAATAGCGAGCAGTAGTTGAACTAAGTACGCATAGTTGATTTACTTCTATAAAGTATGTCCAAGAATACAATGGAGAAGAAGTTCAACTAGCCATACCTAGATCAGCTACGTCTAGCTTTTAATTGAAATCCGATCTCTGCAAGTGCTGTCATGTCAAACCGGAATTTTGAAAAAGTGTCATTAAAAAGTGACAGTTCCAGACAACGTGACAATTAAAATGTCTCAGCAGAAAGGTTTTTAAGAATTAGTGATTACAAATCATATGTTTACTGCTAAAATGCAGGGTTGTTTAAAAAGAAAAAAAATCTTTTTTGAATTTAAAAGATAGGATGAGGATAAAATGCCTGAAAAATGTGCTCCGGTAGCTCCTGCAGCTGGTTCCCTGATAGATCTAGGACCTGGAGACTTCTCTGCATCCTAAACCAGATCAATCATCTTAATGCTAATCCATCTTCAAGGGTTAAAGTTGTATTTGATAATATGAAAATCAGAAACGAAAAAGAAGTGACAGCTTATCAAAATGAGTTTGTGAATGATTCATAATGGAGTTTTGATCTTTTTCATTATTTTTTTCTCTCTTTTACTCTTTTACTCAAAACATAAATAACTAAAACATCCTAGATTGTCTTCTTCTATATGTATACCTTTGGTTTGTCTTTTTCACGTCCTAGCAAGGAATTGTTATATTGAAGTTTCGTTATTATTCCTACATAGATTACAAAGTTTCAGGTTTGTATTTCATACTTTCTAGATTTCTGGTTTCTAAATTATATATTTCTAGGTTTACCTGAAAGTTTTATCCTTGATACTTTCTAGACTATATATTTCTAGATTTACTTGAAGGTGCTATCCTTGATACTTCCTAGATTATATATTCTAGATTTACCTGAAGGTTTTATCCTTGATACTTCCTAGATTATATATTTCTAGATCTAACCGAAAGTTTTATCCTTGATACTTTCTAAATTATAAATTTCTAGGTTTACCGGAAGGTTATATCCTTGATACTTCCTAGATTATATATTTCTAGGTTTACCTGAAGGTTATATCCGTGATACTTCCTAGATTATATATTTCTAGATTTACCTGAAGGTTTTATCCTTAATACTTCCTAGATTATATATTTCTAGGTTTACCTGAAGGTTATATCCTTGATACTTTCTAGATTATATATTTCTAGATTTACCTTGATACTTCCTAGATTATATATTTCTAGGTTTACCTGAAGGTTTTATCCTTAATACTTCCTAGATTATATATTTCTAGATTTACCGGAAGGTTTTATCCTTAATACTTCCTAGATTTTATATTTCAAGATTTACCTGAAGGTTTTATCCTTGATACTTCCTAGATTATATATTTTTAGGTTTACCTGAAGGTGCTATCCTTGATACTTCCTAGATTATATATTTCTAGGTTTACCTGAACGTTTTATCCTTGATATTTCCTAGATTATATATTTCTAGGTTTACCTGAAGATGCTATCCTTGATACTTCCTAGATTATATATTTCTAGGCTTACCTGAAGGTTTTATCCTTAATACTTCCTAGATTATATATTTCTAGGTTTACCTTGATACTTCCTAGATTATATATTTCTAGGTTTACCTTGATACTTCCTAGATTATATATTTCTAGGTTTACCTGAAGGTTTTATCCTTGATACTTCCTAGATTGTTGTTAGCTAGGTTTACCTGAAGGTTTTAACCTTGATACTTCCTAGATTATATATTTCTAGGCTTACCTGAAGGTTTTATCCTTGATACTTCCTAGATTGTTGTTAGCTAGGTTTAGCCTTTGTAGATTAGTTATTGGTTCTAGAGTGTTTTCCTCTGAAAAAATAAAACTTAATTGAAAAATAAAGAAATTTTAATTAGTTATTGTACTATATCCACGGGCAGCCGTAGTACATTTGAATTTCCGAGTAGGGTCAACCTTTCCAGTCCCAGTTTGTACTGTATATCGCCCGGATATTGGGTTAATAAAGCAGACACTCAATAGGACTAGCCGGTGCAACAAGGTTGACGCGGTCAGACTCTAGGTTAAATTTACTTTTACTGAAGGGTCAGGGGTGCGTGTATCAGGATTTTGAGAGAACAAAATAAATTACATTTTAATCCTAACTAATGTTTAGATAAATACATTTGCTGCTTGCTACTCCAAAAAATGTTTTTAAAAGAAATTGAGTTTTTGCCACAAACTCAGATTTTTTGATCCCTATATTTCTGCAACTCAATAATTTAGGCTTTTGATATATACAACTATGAATTCTATAAGATGAATTATTGTAAGTTTGAAATTAAAAGGTTCACACAATCATTTTGTAAAAATTTAGAGATTAGAAAATTTGAGTTTCCGGTGAATATTCAATACCTTTGCCGATAAAATGGGAAAATCGTTATTAAAACCATTATTAAAAAAGCATTGTTTTCTGTTTTTAAATGTTATAATGTTTATATTACCTATTGAATCAATCAAATTGTTAGAAAGATCCATCACCACGAGTTTACGAAGGCTTCCAATAGTTTCCTTAAAACAATCCAACTTTTCAGATCAGTTCTATACAGTTTTAACACTTTCATTCTTAAATCATATATCTAAGGGATTGCTGGCGATTTTCATTCTTTTTTGTAAATTAACCGTTTTTTTCTGAATGAGGTCAAAATTTGGCCATGTCAGCCTTGGGGTAAAGCCTGTAATCCATGTGTCCTGGCAACCCATGTCGTAGCCCATTGGTATTTTAAATCCATGTGTCCTGGCAACCCATGTCGCAGCCCATTGATATTTTAAATCCATGTGTCCTTGCAACCCATGTCGTAGACCATTGATATTTTAAATCCATGTGTCCTTGCAACCCATGTCGTAGACCATTGATTTTAAATCCATGTGTCCTGGCAACCCATGTCGCAGCCCATTGATATTTTAAATCCATGTGTCCTTGCAACCCATGTCGTAGACCATTGATATTTCAAATCCATGTGTCCTGGCAACCCATGTCGTAGACCATTGATATTTTAAATCCATGTGTCCTGGCAACCCATGTCGTAGCCCACTGATATTTTAAAGTATAAAATCTGTTAGATCAAATAGTCTAGGGCTGAAATATCAAATGTATACACCATCAGGGTGCAAAGGTATAAGAGTTATAGACAAAATTAAGTTTGTCGTAAAAACTTTTTATTTATGATTTTAAAGAAAAAAGACCTTTAGAAGTAATTTTGCGTGATTATGTTTAAAATTTGGATCACTGTGATTTACGAACAATATTCATATATTTATAAAATTTACGAAATTTTCAGGAATACATTGAAAACTATGTTTACCATATATATATAATAATCCCTTTTAGTAAAGAGAAGAGGGGTTGAGTTGAAGAGAGGGAATAAAGAATGGTTTTAGATTAAAGTGTAAAGTTTTCAGAGGGACAACATATAAGAGGGTTAGCGCTCTAGAAAGAATTCGTTTCTTTTGAATTTAAACTTTTAATTTGATTTGACAGTAAACAAGACACCATATAGCTCACAATAGACCTGGAATTCTTGAAGGGGGGGGGATAAGGGGGGGGGTTACAGATGAAAGTTACTGCAAAATGCTTAAATTTCAAAAAGATTAATACATTTTAATGAAAAATTTTAATGCTAAGTTCAGATGAAACAAAATAAAACCAATGTGGATTTTTATGTTTTTTACTTAAACTTTTTAAACGTATTTGAAATAATTGAATTGGATATATTTTTTAATGCTAAAATTGAATGTTATATAAATTTCAAATATCTTTGTAAACAACCTTTTTTGGTTGCTTTCTTAGTAAATGTTTGACGGAACTCAACTCAATTGGGTCAGAGATGAGTTCCATTTTCCTTAATTCATTAGCAAATCTACGCAAATGCGTCTCTTAATAAATTTTTCTTACTGTCTTATACCTCAAATGGTAATCAATAGATAAGATTAAAGAAAAATGCTAAGCAAAATCAGCCTGCGTAAAACAAGTGTTTACTATGGTTTATAGGGTATTACCCGTATGTCAAGTTTTTAAATGATAAGACAACGGCGCAAAACAAAAGTTGGGTATATACCTTCTACTGAGCCTTGTGCAAAACAATAGTTGGGTATACGCCTTCTACTGAGCCTTGTGCAAAACAATAGTTGGGTTTACACCTTCTACTGAGCCTTATGCAAAACAAAAAATAGAAAGACTTCGAAAACGAACTGGAAACAGGTTTATGAAATATCGTATTTGTTGTTTGTTTTGTATGCGTGTGCTTACGCCCACAATACTGAACTAAAAATAAAAATATTTCTAAAGTAAAAAACAATTTCAAATATCTGATAATCTTTTAAACAGGATCGTAATTTACTTATTAGCCGAAAAAATTAGAGAGCAAAAAAGTAAATAGCGTAAATAGCGTAAACAATTTTTATACATTTACAAATATTTCTAAAACTCTAGAAATGTCCAATTTCATTAATAATTGTGACTTAAGACATCATACCCAAATACTTGAGCTATCCCTTACAAGATTTCCCTAAATATTGATGAGTATCCTGTTTCTATTTCCTTTTCTTGAAAACTATATCAGATGGAATATAAAACATTTTACTGAAAGTATACATGGAGGAAACACTGGAATCTTGGGAATATACATTCGCAACATTTCTGCACATTAATAATTTAGAAGAAAACTATGCACGCTTCCCTTGGGGCCGAGGGGGGTTGGTTGTGATTTCAAGAAACTTTGAAAAACATGTATATTGTATATTGTATATTGTATATACTATATACAACGGAAATGTAAAACAAACTGTTCTCAATTTAACCCTCTTATCTGATTATTTTAGTTAATTCACCATACTTTGGTAAAGAAAAAACATAAGCTGAAGTTATCAGCTGAATATTTAAAATTCAACAGATATCCTGCTTAGCAGGAGAACACTTCTGCTAAGCAGGAAACAGGAATTCCTGCTTAGCTAAAGAAATAATAACTGACTTAAATTAAAAATCTTGTACACCGAAATTATGAGGAATCTGTTGAGGTGTACAGCTGTAAAGATTAAGAATATATAAAAGTTAGAATCCCTTGTTAACTCTAGGTATCTTGTTGTATGCAATGTTAATGGTTCGAAGTGATGAACTCATTGTCTCGAAGAAGCCAGGCTGGATACTGGTAATGTTGTTGTAGGAGATATCAAGGGACCTAAACAAATAGTTGCATGTTAAATATAATCAAGTTGTTATCAAAGAGACAGCATGTTTTTATAAAAGAGACAGTATTAAATTCTCATTTTTACCTTCATTGTCCGTCATTAACCGTGCACACAAAACAATTGAAAATAATCAATTTTTAATAGGAAAACAAGGTTATCTCAATCAACCTGTATCTCACACTGTTGTGATTTGGACGTAGTGTCACGTTATAAATGGAGGGTTGCTTGAGATAAGGTTCTACAGTAGAAAAATGTTCAGAGGAAATGTAAGTTATTCTGTATCAAGGAATACACAAATTAGTAATTAGTTTGTTTTTAATCTTTGTGACAGAAACAATCTCAAGAACTGAAGAGGGTCAACCCAGACCGAAATATATTTTCAATAAATGTGGAACTAACATCTACTTTTTTACTCTACAGAGGTTTGGTCTATCACCATCACCGACTTTTAAATTAGTTTACCCTCATAGAGCAGGGGCGGATCCAGGGTGAGCCTTGGAGCAATAGCTTACTCTTGGAAAATTGTTCTCATNAACAAAATGGAAAGTTGGCTCACCCCTAGTAACATCCTATTTACACCTATGCCATAGAGAACCAGAATGTGTCTTTGATTTCAGATTTAGGAGATTTGAATTGTTAGAAAGTATTTGAAGAGTATACACAAACTAAGGTGTCAAATTTTAAAGTTTCAAGATTTATCTATTCAATGTTCAAGATTCAGGATCGTCTGTTGAATTCACAACGAGGAACAGTGAAATCCACAAACCTATGGAATAGAAAGACGACATTATAATAATCCTTAAGTAAGATGTTGTAACAAAGCAAATAGAGATTCTAGTAACTTAAATCACTTATTTATTAAATAGGTCTGTTTACACTCTGCAATTGCTATGTCTCTGCATGTCCAGTAGACAGACTTTTAAAGTCTTAACTTAATTCTAAAAGTCGGCTTCCTACTTCAGAGTTTTCTGGTCCTTAGTGTATATTCAACAGAAAGAATACTTCCTTATTTAAGCTGTTTTTTTAACATATTATTGCAATATTGAGAAACTGCTTACTGTAATAAACTACATTTGCGGGAAAAAAGGCGAAAAAATTCTTGGTGCGCGTCGCGTCGCATGAATTAAAATAAAAAGCATAATGAGCCCAACCTTCAGGGGACAAAAGACCTAAGTTATTGCAACAAACTCAGATTTTCTAATTCCTTTATCTTTGCGATGTTGTAGACCTTTGATATTTTTAAATATAAATTATGTTAATCAAATAATCAAAGTTTAAAATATCAAAGATGTGCACCATCATTGTGTAATATATATGGATTAGAAAATTTAAACTTGCGGTAAAAACTCAGTTCCTTTCTGTATAATAATATAATAATATGCCCCTGATTGTGGATATTTTTTCTTTGACTTTTTAATATTTTTATAATTTTTAAAAAAGGTTATTTTACAGTACAGAGTAGTCTATTCAATTATTTAACTTTTCCAACGCTGCGCTACGACGAATTAATCAAAATTTAGAAAATATTAAATTTATTTTCATTAATTTTTCATTTGTATACAAGGGCAATTTTTACATAAATTAATGATTACTTTTTAATCTCAAAATTGAAATAAATTTTAATATGATCAGATGTGTGTTGCCCTGTATATTATAATAGAAATAAACACAAAAGAAATGTAAAAGAAATGTCCAGATATTTGAAAAATCTTGAAGATGTGTAGATTTTTGAGAATTCCCACAATTTTCCTGGATATTTGAGAAATCCCCTAAATGTCTAGATATTTGAGCTGTATCTCCCAAATGTCTAGATATTTGAGCTGTATCTCCCAAATGTCTAGATATTTGAGCTGTATCTCCCAAATGTCTAGATATTTGAGTGTATCTCCCAAATGTCTAGATATTTGAGAAATCCCTAAATGTCTAGATATTTGAGAAATCCCCTAAATGTCTAGATATTTGAGCTGTATCTCCCAAATGTCTAGATATTTGAGCTGTATCTCCCAAATGTCTAGATATTTGAGCTGTATCTCCCAAATGTCTAGATATTTGAGCTATATCTCCCAAATGCCCTAGGATATTTGAGAAATCTAGCAAATGCATGGATATTTGGGATATTTTCCAAAATCTTCGATAACGTAATTGCTGTCGGGTCTTGATAAAGTAGGATTTCCAATGGATCCTACTTTATAGAAATTAACATAGAAATATTTCACTTTTCTTAAAATTGGAAAAAGTTAAACAAATATGGAAAATATGTCAAAACTTTTATCAGATACTTTTTCTTCATTTTATCAGATACTTTTTCTTCATTTTATCAGATACTTTTTCTTCATTTTATCAGATACTTTTTCTTCATTTTATCAGATACTTTTTCTTCATTTTATCAGATACTTTTTCTTCATTTTATCAGATACTTTTTCTTCATAAAAATTATGAAATTATATTTGAATCTTTAGAAATAAAATTCTAAATAAGAATTAACCTCATTTATTGAGTATTTGAGGAACAAAACTGCTACGTTCTAATGATGATTTCTTAAAGTAATCAAGCAATTCTTAATGGCCCCTCTTTAATCTTTTCACAGCCCTCCCCCCATGATAAAGTTAGAATTGGAAAATTTAAGTGTTTTGATTGTTTCCTCGGCAGATTGATAGATTTGATGGTTTTATTGTTTTCGTCTTCCAGGAGTTATTTATCTTACTCTTTTATCATTCAAGGATTTTATATAAAAATCTATTCTTTTCTATCTATCTATCTATCTATCTATCTATCTATCTATCTATCTATCTATCTATCTATCTATCTATCTATCTATCTATCTATCTATCTATCTTTCTATCTATCTATCTATCTACCTATCTATTTATCTATCTATCTATCTATCTATCTATCTATCTATCTATGTTCTTCTCCCTGTCTACCCGAAGTCTAAAGTAGCCAAGTATTGATTATCTGATAATTAACGTTCTTAATTATCCCTGGGCAATATTATCATAATGTTTGTTCTCTTCAATTCTTATATCAGCTCTAGTATATTTAGCATGAATAGGAGAATTGTTTGAATTTAAGTTTTGATGGATACGATGAACATGTACTTCCCAACATGTTGTCTGACAAAATTCTTAGAAGAGAATCTCTAGGACTGGTTATATGCTAGAGGTTGGTATCTATTCCTTATCCTGGAGATAAATGAGAGTCTCTGGGACCGGTTTGAAGCTGTATCTATACCTTATCATGGGGTTGAGTAGAATCTCTGGGACTGGTTGGATGCTATGGATGTTATCTATACCTTCTCCTGGAGTTAGAGAAGAATCTCTGGGACTGGTTTGAAACTAGGGTTGGTATCTATACCTTATCCTGGAGTTAGAGGAGAATCTCTGGGACTGGTTTTAAGCTAGGGTTGGTATCTTTACATTATTCTGGAGTTAGAGGAGAATCTCTGGGACTGGTTTGAAGGTTGGGTTAGTATCTATACCTTATCCTGGAGTTAGAGTAGAACCTCTGGGACTGGTTTGTTGCTATGGATGTTATCTATACCTTATCCTGGAGTTAGATGAGAATCTCTGGGACTGGTTGGATTCTAGGTTTGGAATCTATAACAAGTATCTAAACCTTTTCATGGAATTAGAGGAGAATCTCTGGGACTGGTTTGAAGGTTGGATTAGTGTCTACACCTTATCAATCTCTGGGACTGGTTTGAAGCAAGGGTTGGTATCTATACCTTATTATCCTGGAGTTAGAGAAGAATCTCTGGGTCTGGTTTGGAGGTTGGGTTAGTATACTTTACCTTATCCTGGAGTTAGAGGAGAATCTCTGAGACTGGTTTGAAGCTAGGGTTGGTATATTATTGTGAGATAGATCAAGGTGTAGAGTTGGAGACAAGGAACCAACGTAATCCAAACTGTCAAAGTTCACAGATCTAACAAATTTAAAATTGTCCATACGCTAAAAAAAATGACTCAAAAATGTCTTGAATATCAAAGTAATAAAGGCTCCCGCAAAACACATTAAAAATTTTGGAACTTTAACCAAGTTTAATTTTGTTATAGAGGATTTTTTGCTTAAGATTATTAATGTTAAAGAAACTCAATACAATTATTAAAATTAAAGTTTTGTATGGAATAATTTTTCCTAAAATCTTGATTTTAAAGAATCCATACAAAATTAAAGATTTGTATGGAGGATTTTGTTCCGAAGATTATTGTTAAAAAGAAATACAATTATCAAAATTAAAGTTTTGTATGGAGGATTTTGTTCCGAAGATTATTGTTAAAAAATACAATTATCAAAATTAAAGATTTGTATGGAGGATTTTGTTCCTAAGATTATTGTTAAAAAGAAATACAATTATCAAAATTAAAGTTTTGTATGGAGGATTTTGTTCCGAAGATTATTGTTAAAAAATACAATTATCAAAATTAAAGATTTGTATGGAGGATTTTGTTCCTAAGATTATTGTTAAAAAGAAATACAATTATCAAAATTAAAGTTTTGTATGGAGGATTATGTTCCTAAGATTATTGTAATTAAAAAGAAATACAATTATCAAAATTAAAGTTTTGTATGGAGAATTTTGTTCCTAAGATTATTGTATGCTAGATTTAGAATCTGCAGGCTGTGCAGGTTTTGAAAGGATTCATCGTTTAAGCTTACAATCTGGTTTCCTAAACAAGTACAGTAAAATAAGTATATACAAGTGAACCTATGAAACTGCGGAATATAAAAACGACTGATAACCTTAAGATATGACTTTTACAGTCCAAAAAAAATGTTTTAAAAACCTATATTTACACCTTTAACATTTTACTTAATAAGTTGGTTTTCAAGCTAAAGGTAAAAATATTTGCTTCATAAGTAACAGCATCAGATAAACATAACCAGCATCAGATACACATAACATTGCCTAAATGTCGTCTTTAAATAATGAATAAAGTTTCTCAATTACTATGAGACCCATGAAACTGTGAAACAGAAGAAGACATTTAACTAAAATTCTAACTATGTATATTTTATTCAGTTAAAGAGTAAATAGTTTTACCAGTAGGTTGAAATTTAATTTAATAAGTGAAAATGGTCTGTGTACACTGCACAATTACTGTGTTTCATGTTTTTGGTCTATTTGAAATCATAACTTGAGTCTAACAGTCGTCTGCATATTCCACATTTTTTTGGGTCTCACTTTACACCAATTTATAAATAGTAATATAGTTTCATTTTGATTTCTATTTTTGATTTAGCGAATTAATTAAAACTGAAACCATTTAAAAGTTAGAAAGTATAATTAATAATTAATAATTAATAATTAATAATTTACCTTCCAAGTTAAGATGTTTAAGAGCTCTCATCTCAACAAACGCTCTGAAAATTAATACTTTTATTAATTAGATTTACTTTTATTACAAAAAAATTGACATTTTTTCACACATGTTTATGCCCCATAACACTATCTTCAAAAAAAAGTAGCCCCTGATTAAAATGTACTCACTTTGTCAAGTGAAAGGCCATTTTTTTGGGAAAATAAAAGATAACATAAATTTAACGATTTATAAAATCCAAATTGTTATTAGACAATATTCCCCTGCTTAACTACATACCAGAGCAACATTACCCCCCCCCCCCTCACACAAACAGCTAGTATTGTTTGTTTTTCTGTTGTTCAAATGTGTGTCATCATGTTTTGATCTGTCAAAGATTATTAATGTGTTTGTGTACTGCAGTATCAAGAAGTAGAAAACATTCAGTTCAACACTATTTTCACCTATAAAACGGCTGGGAGGGTCGGAGGGGGGGGGGGGCATTTGTTGTCCACCTTCGACCTCAATTTATCATAATCTAAGGTACTAATGCTAGGAAAGTTAATTGCTGTCGCGTATACTCTGCGTACATATTGAAACCAGTTCTCTCTGGGCGGACTTTGTAAACAAAAATAAAAGCATGGTGTTCGTTTAGTATCCAAGAAGGTTAAAAGCATTTAATTTGATAATTTTGAAAATTCACATAATAGTTTCCTATGACCAGAATATTTTATAGATTATTTTTGTGAAAATGGATTCCATGTCAAGCTTTGACTTCCGTCTTGTGTTTACTTTTCCGCCCAAAGACAGTACACTGCAGTACAAAAAATGTGTACACCTCTGAAATAACTTTCCGTGCATTAGTACTAATAGAATCTTGCATCAGAATGGGCATATTTTAGTCGCAGTGCACAACAAAAGTATTGTATCTTTGCTGCAAAATCTAATCCTTTTAAATCCCCTATACATTTGCAACCCAATGTCGAAGATCTTTGATATTTCAAATTATGAATTAATTAAATAATATAGGTTTAAAATATCGAAGGTGTACCCAACATTTATCTTAACCAAAAAAAATTGCCTGAGTTTTGCTCAGAGATAGACAAAAACAATACAAAATGTTCAGAATAGAAAAAAAATAAAAGGAAAAAAACGAAAACAGGCAGATAGTTTTACAGACAGACAGATAGACGACAAACATGAAGATTGAAGAAGAAAGAGACAAGACATTTAACTGCATCAAACCATATTCCTTTGATTCATTTAGAACAGACAAATAGATAGATAGATACTCAGATAAATAGACGATAGATGAAAGATAAAAAGATAGTTAGATAGATAAATACTCACATAAATAGAAGATAGATGGAAGATTAATACATAGTTAAATAGACAAATAGAAAGATAGATACTCACATAAATAGAAGAAAGAAGAAAGAAGATAAGATAGAAGGATAAAGGAATAGAAGAATAGAGAAATAGATAATAAGATGTGCAGACAGCAAATAGAAGGATCGAGAGATAGATAGATTATAGAATAGAATGATAGATGAAAAAAGAGAAAACAAGAATGAAAGATAGCTAGATCACGGGCAACCGTAGTACATTTAAATTTCCGAGCCGGGTCAACCTTTTCGGTCGCAGTTTGTACTGTACCGCACGGATATTGGCTTGATTAAGCAGACAATCAACAGGAATAGCCGGTGCAACAAGATTGACGCCGGACGCGGTCAGACTTTATGCTTCATATATGTTGAATTTACTTTTACTAAAGGGGCAGTAGTGCGTGAGATAGAGAATAAAAATAAATAAGAGACCGAAATGGACTATTTAAAAAAAGTGTAAGAACATTTTTTTTGTGAAAGTGAAAAGCTAAGAAAATTAAAAATGCATGATGAAAAGTTGGATCAAGGCATTTTAATTAACACAAGAACAGAAATAGAATAAAACCTTACTAGTTAACTTTTATTGCAATTCTCTTTGAAGAATGCTTTTCATTATGTGACAGTCCTTATAGTATTAAGTTATTCATATAGAAATAATAAATACATGAACATATTTGGATTTTAAGCATAATTTTCATGTGTTTACTGTTGTTAAATTATAGATTTTTATCCTTCAAAAATGTTTGAAAATATTGTATTTTAAACATTTTAATTTTTTTTATTTTTCCTATTTTGAAAATATTTTATATCTAGTTTCTTTAATACTTGAATAAATATTTGATCTCAAAAATCGTCTAAACCTTAAAACCAAGTGCTCAAAATACCAAATGAATGAATTATTAAGTTTAATACTCAAAAGAATGAAAGGGGCGCCATGTCAAGTTAAGTAAAAACTAGTCTTTGTCACAAACTAATATTTTCTAGTTCCTATTTCTTAACAATCAGCCGCTGTAAACCTTTAATTAAATCAACATAAAGAATTTGAGCCGCGGCTTAAATTTAAGCCGCGGCTCATATATGGTTGGTTCCACTTAAAATTGTATTTAATTTTTCAAGATTTAAGCCGGCGCTCAATTGAAACCGGTTTTTGGCAGATTTAGGCGGCGGCTCAAATTCATTAAATTCGGACACATAATTCATAGTCTTAAATATCTAAGGTCTATACTACATTGGGTTGCAAATATATAGGGGTTAGAAAATCAGAGTTTGTGGCAAAGACTCAATTCCTTTCAGAATTGATTAATAATGTGCATACATAACTTCTCTTATCGAAAAGCAATTGTAAAGAATAAACATGCGTTGTATGACTAATTAAAAAACTTTATATTCTTTTTCTATACTTGAGCTTAAAAATTTAACCTTGAGAAGCTAATAGGTCACAAAGTCGTACTAGTAAAGTCACATAAATTTGATCTTCTCCTTTTGTCTAGTAGTAGTAAACTTACCTTGATTCTATAGTTTGTATTCTATTATCATTAATAAGAAGGGTTTCCAGTTTCTCGAATCTGAACATATCATGTTCTATTCGCCTGATATCATATAAACCTTGTCAACCCCTACCCTCCATTTAGTTTTTAGCATCTTATAAGTAAAACTAATATACAATGCTGTACTTTAATGAAACAAATTAGATTAAAAAATGGTTTACTTTTAAATTTCTATAAATGAATACCCCTGAGGTAAAATTTTTTGGATTTTGTACCTGGGGACCAAGCATTAGCGTGAACCGGATTAATTTAATTTCTCTTTGATATCCTGGGATGTTCATACCCTGCAGGGATAACTTTAATGGAGGGATCATACATTGATCCTCAAATATAAAACATCGGATATCGAGATCAAGTCTTCAAGATTAACAACATCCACACTAAAATTCCGATCTCTAATTATAAAAATTAAAATAAAACTTAAAATTTAAAAAATTTAAGATAGTTATGATTTATACGTGTCTTTTTGGATTAACGAAAAGTTGCCAAAAATCGAAACATTCTCAGAAAGAATTTTTGAAATTATTCATCTTAGAAATGAAAAATTAAATTAGTTCACACTAAAAATGTATTCATGGAAAACAAAAAAATTATATTTAACGCTAAAATCGATAATGATATTGATAAAAAAGGAGAGATTTCTTGCTGATAATATGTTATCATTTCTTCATTCATTCCAATGTCTGATCGAACTTTTCGTGTGGAGTATTGTTAATCAGTGAACTTTTAGATTCGAGGATAAATGCTTGATTCCTCAATTAAAGTTATCCTGCAGCCTGCAGGTCAGGGGCATACACAGAAATGCCCCCCCCCCGCCGGGGTATGCAGCAGGTAGATTAATCTGTGGATATGCACAAGATCAAGATTCATGCTAGATTTAAACAACATAAAAGATTCAATTTCTTTTAAGATTTAAAGATTTGACAAGGTTCCTGATGTGGTTGAAGGAGAGATCAAGGATCCTTAACTCAGGGTTCGCCTGCTCATCAACAACCATTCAACCAAATACAGATGATAAATGTGTGCACAGCATGCAATGTACAATAACAAGAATATATACATTGCATAGTAAAAAAATTTCTAATAAATCAAAAAAATTGGAGTCATCTAAAACCTTGCAATAATATTTATTGTGGATTTTAATTTTTTATAGATTTTCCTACAATACTCGGAATCTTCAATTTATGACATGAAAACGAAAAAAACACAAAATCAAGTGATAAAAGCAGTAAAATTTTAAATGGTAAAATACAATTAATTAGTTTCCAAATTTAGACGGATTATTGCCCTATGTAGAATTGCATTATTTTAGGAATCTACTTCTTTGAAAAATGTTGACGAATATGAGGTGTTCTGTAAGTTGTAATTAGGGATGGGCAATAGTCAGATTCATTTTTCAAAAACTTTAAATTTTTTAAACTTTTAGCAGGTTTTACGACAATATAAGAAGGTTCCCCACATTTTAAAACTCTATTCTGTAGAAGTTTGCTTTAATCAAACATGCAAATTTGTTACTCAAAAAGAAAATATTAGGCAAAAACAATCTCTTTTTTTTGGTTTTCAAACGATAGTTTTTATTAAATTTTGCCTTCTATTTACCATTCTCAGATTTTCGCAAAACAAAACTCTAAAAATATTAAAAGCTTCTGTAAAACGAATCTAGCTTCTACCCATCACTAGTTGTAATATATCCAACTAAACAACTCATTAATTACATTTTTTGTATAAGTTTGTGTTTACTAACCAGCCCTTAATTAGTTAGGTTGAACTTTGTTTACATTACAAACTCGAAACACTATAAATCTGTCAAATGAAAACTAGCAACATATAAGATTTTGAAAGACAAATTGTATTATTTTATAATATAAACTAAATCAGAAAGAAACTATGTAATTTAAACGGTTCTAAAAAAGCCTAAACAATCATATTTCCTCTTATTGAAAAGCTTTTGACCTTATCCGTAAGTCTTTTGGAGTGTGAAAGATTGTTACTAAGAACGGTATTTAATAGCAATTAATACTTGTGAATCCCATGCACCATTAGCCTAAAAAGATACTTTTTTGTTGCTAAATTTCCATATTTTCATGGAAAAGCATATAATCAAAATGAAAGTAAACTAAAATGCGTTCAAAACTTAAGAATAGGGCACTGAGAATATTCAAAACTCTTACATTCTGTTTGAAAGGAACTGAGTTCTTGTCAAAAAACTCAAATTATCTAATCCATTCCCTATATATTTACAACCCGATGGTGTTGACCTTTTTCAAACTTGGACTATTTGATCTACCAGAATTCAGAGTTTAAAATATCTAAAGTCTTGACATTGGGTTGCAAATAACAAGAAATTAGAAAATCAGAGTTTGTAGCAAAGTCTCAATTAAAATAATAAAATGAGATTAATCTTTGTTAAAACTTAATAAACAGAGTGTGAGGGATATCTCCCACATATTTCAAACTCTAATATTCTCTTTGAAATTTCGAACAAAATATTCATAATTTCGAACAAAATATTCATAATTTCGAAATAATTTTGAGTTTAAATGGTTAAATGGTTTCTTCCCTGGCTATGTAGAGTTCCTCTCATGAACCCGGTCAGCTTATTATCCTGGAGGTACAGCTCTCTATAAATATAGATATTATCCTGGAGGTACAGCTCTCTACAAATATAGATATTATCCTGGAGGTACAGCTCTCTACAAATATAGATATTATCCTGGAGGTACAGCTCTCTACAAATATAGATTTATCCTGGAGGTACAGCTCTCTACAAATTTATAACTTAACCTGTCTTAAACTAAATATATATTTAAATACAAAGAAAACTGTAGGGTTTTAAGATTTTCGAAACAAGATATTCGCGAAATTTTTCTCGAAAACGTTGAAAGACATACGACAAAAGTGAAAACGTTCCGTCCCTTTAGGTATGAGAAAAAATTACCTCAAATTCTTCATTTTATGTAAAGTATCCAGAGGTATGGAAACCAAATGATTGTCACTAAGGTCCAGTAGAATTAAAGAAACAAGGTTCTAGAACAATTAAGATGAGTTGAACATTTTCTGCGTCATTTATCTTTTATTTTTTCAATCTTTCAATCAATCTTTCAATCTTTTTATTATATTATTATATTATATTATATTATAAAGATTTATTCACACACAAAGATATAAATACATATATAAATGGTGTAGTTTAAATTTGTTAAAATAAATTTTTGAAAATACAGGTTTCCAACACATTACATAACAATTTTATCATTTCAGTTATTACGTAATCATCGAATCCTTCAACATATAAATTATTCATTCTTGTATTTAAAAGTTCTTGTAAAAAACCGGAACTTTCCATGCATGTTCCAATGGGACATCAAAATATTTCATTTGTTTCTTAACTAACATTTTACTAAGATCCGACTGGTGTTTTAGGAAGTGAAATGGTAAATATGGGAAAAAACATAAGTTGGTTTTATTTATCAAAGATATAATGTTAAAAAGTTAGTAATAAAAGAAAACGTACATTCTAAATTTACATTGGATCAGATTATTTATTAAATCAAGTATTCATTTTGTAAACTTAAAATGTTATGCATCAATAATGTAGTTGGAATAAAATATTTCATATGATTTGGATTTGTTTCATATTGTACGTCTAAATGATATTTATTACAAAAGCATTGAGTAAATCAGACTTATCAGTTGTATTATATAAATGGCAATGTGAAAATATTTTTATTCTTTACATTTTACCGCAATAAACACTTAAAAATTAGAAAATTTTGAAAACCAGATTTTGTTAAAAAGTAATTTTCTTTTAACCTGAAAAGGTTGGTTTGGTAGTTCTGTAAGGTGAAGAGCATGTCGCATCCTGAGGTTAAAAAGTATAAACGGAACTGAGTTTTTTCCAAAAACAAAATTTTTCTAACATATTTATAGAAATCAGAAAATCTAAGTGTATTGCAACATTTTTTAGGTCTTTTTTGTAATTATTCATTTGGTCTTTTAATGTTAATATTACTAACATTTATTAATTATCTATTTGTTTCTTAATTTAAATTCCATATATGATTAGAGGCTTATTACAATTTGTATCTCTTTATCTATCTTTCTGTTTGTCTATTTTCCAGCCAAAATACATTTATTAATTATCTATTTGTTTCTTAAGGAAGTGAGTTTTAGCCACAAATTCTGATTTTCAAATCGCTATATCATTGCAATCTGATGGTGTTAACCTTTGATTACTATTATTATTTGATCTAAAATAATTCATAGTTTGAAATATCTAAGGTCTCTGACATTGAAATACAAAGATATAAGGATAAGAAAATCAGATTTTGTGACAAAAACTCAATTCCTTTACATATCCATGTATAGGATTAGAGGCTTATAAGATTTTTATCTCTTTATCTTTGTCTATTTTGTAGCCCTAAAAGGAAATGAGTTTTTGCCACAAACTCAAATGTTTTAATCCCTTTATCTTTTCAACCCGACGTCGTAGACCTTTGATATTTCAAACTATAAATTCTGTTATATCAAAAATTCTAATTGTTTGAAATGTCAAAGGTTTACATCATCAGGATGCAAAGATATAGGGACAAGAAAATCTAAATTTGTGGCATCAAATATACAATTCCTTTATACATTTATTTATCTATATATTTATTTACTATTCATCTAATTTTTATCTATATATTTACTATATACCATCTCTTTATCTATCATGACATCTATCTATCTATCTATCTATCTTTAATGCCATCTATCTATCTATCTATCTATTAAGCTACCTGAGGCTCCTGAGAGAATTTCCTATTTCTTTGAAGGCAATTTCTTCAATCCTTTGGATTTTGTTTCCAGATAAATCTTTGAAAAACAAACATCAAACTTTAGATATCTTTTATAGAAAAATGCAATTTTAATCCCCACCCCCTCTCACCCTCTTACTATTTATATTTTGTATCCTTCTATTTTAAAGTATATTTATATTTATATATATATATATATATATCATAAACATTTTGTTATGTATATTCATCTGCTTTTTTTAAATATTCCCACAACCCAGTTTAAGTGATTTTTAAGGTTTAAAAGTTTTTGTTTCCTAGAGATGATACGCTTGGAACATGATAGAATGCATTGTTTCTGATCACCTTTATGTCTGAGTTGACTGCAGAAAACAACATTAGAAGCAAGAGATTTATAAATACCAAGAAGGATACATGAGGTTAAACCAAGAAGGATACATGAGGTTAAACCAAGAAGGATACATGAGGTTAAACCAAGAAGGATACATGAGGTTCAAACTGTGAAATGCATATTGAAACCTTAATTACGTATTTAATCATAACTATTGAGAGATTTGAGAAGAACAACATTTTTTTCAATTTATATTATGTAAAATATGAAACCGGGCAAAGGAACTGAGTTTTTGTCACAAACTCAGATTTTCTAAACACAATCTGCAACTGGATAGTGTAAAACTTTGATATTTCAAACTCAAATTTTTTGATCTACCAGAATTTATAGCTTGAAATATCTGAGGTCTACGACATTGGGTTGCAAAGTTATAACGATAGGAAAATTTTAGTTCGTGGCAAAGACTCAATTCATTTGTTATTCTCATAATTGTCATCGAAACTAAAGGAGCTATGATCGTAGACCAGTGATATCACATAAAGTTGCCCTTCTTCTTCTTAATTAAAAAAAGTTGGTTTCTTGTACATTCTGCTATTTAAACATTGATTATAAAAGAAACTTTCAAGAAAGGATGTGCACTGCAGTTTCTTGGAGGAAAAACAAAGCTTAGCATGGGCAACACTAGCGTATTTTCAACTCTCGACTAGAAACTGCAGAACACTTTATGGGAGTTCCTTTGCTGATATTTAAAAAAAACTTTAATTGACATCTAGTGTTGTTTTCCTAAACTAATTTCCTCCAGCCCTGGCGGAAAATCCTCGAACTGACTCAGCCTAAGATTCCCGTAGCTGTGCAGAGAAGGTAGAGATAAATGTCTCAAATTTCTAAACATCCAAATTCATTTTTTTAATTAAACCGATTTCTGACAATTCTACAAGTCCAAGAACAAGTTTTTTGCTAAAATTAACACACACCTCATTCGAAATATCGAACTGTCCTCTGAACAGTTAGAAAGATTGGACACATTATTAGATCTGCCTAACTAATGTTTACCTGAGAAGTCCTATCTCTCTGCTTGGAACATGACGCATCAGATCTCCACTGAGATCTAGATCAAGAAGTGCGTATCTAAACTCACTGTAACAAATCTTGTCAATATCGTTTAAAACATTCATTAATTAAACTTAGTTTTCAAACTTAATCTAACAGAATTCATATCTAAGGTCTACGTCATTGGGTTTAAAGATATAGGGATTAAAAATCTAAGTTTGTGGCAATGACTCAATTCCTTTTAAGAATAATAATAGTTCAGCACAGTATAGGATAGATTATGTAAAGCAAGAATAGTAAAGGACAGTATATATAGGAATATATTAGAACAGAATAGAACAGGACTTGATAGGAAAGAATATGTTAGGACAGAAAATAACAAGACAGTATAAGAAAGAATATTGAAGGACAGAGTAGAACAGAACGGGATAGGAAATAATATGTTAGAACAGGGTTTACATAGGACGGTACAGGACGGAACAGGACGAAACAGGACTGCATAGGATAGAAAAGTGGATCATGATAAAATGATTATCTGGGTCTAGTATCTGGGTCTAGTATCTGGATCTAGTATCTGGGTCTAGTATCTGGGTCTAGTATCTGTGTCTTGTCATGGGTCTGTATTTGGTTCTAGTGTCTGGGTCTAGTATCTGGGTATAGTATCTGGGTCTAGCATCTGGGTCTAGCATCTGGGTCTAGTATCTGGGTCTGGTATCTGGGTCTAGTATCTGGGTCTAGTATCTGGGCCTAGTATTTGGGTCTAGTATCTGGGTCTAGTATTTGGGTCTAGTATCTGGGTCTAGTATCTGGGTCTAGTATCTGGGTCTAGTATCTGGGTCTAGTATTTGGGTCTAGTATCTGGGTCTAGNTGATAAAAAAGTTTACCTCCCCTCCCCTCTATATCGATGTATTAACAAGATTTTCCTAAAAGTATAGTTAGGAGAGATCGCCAACACATTATCACTTAGATCAATCTTACGAATTGAATCAAAATCCTGAGATGTCATATATTCTTTACATTTATATATTTATATATTTCGGGGGGAAAAACGAGACTAAAAACATCATCTTTCCACATCTACACAAGCAAATATAACTTGATTTAGATTTAATACTATTCAGAAGAAAAAGTTGATTTTATATAGTTTAAAGAATTTATAATATTTTTCCTCGAATACGTTGTATGGTAGGATTGATAATCGGTTACTGGCTAGATTTAGCTCCTGTAGGCTTCGCTCCAATCCTCTACTCACAATCACACATTTTTTCATGATTTTTTTTGTGATATTTTATTAAATTTAAAGTGGACCTCCCATGATAAATACATATTTCAAATATCCCCATCTCACGCAAAACTAGCTACATTGAAGTACATCCTGTCTCTATCCACATATTTTCATTCATATTTGTACCTTAATTCAAAATACGTTGAAAATAGCGTAAACGGCGTTTTTTACTTTAATAAAGAAAATAAAGTCCAAAAAAAGGACCACTAATTTATCGAAAATGTAGGTTGCGGGGATGCTTTTTAGGAAAACTGTTTGTTTGTGACCAATTATCCAAGAGATAAATTGTACAATATAAAACAGCTAGCTTGTAAGCATTAATATTATATCATCCTTGTTAAGAAAAAAGTTAATAGGTCTCACTGCTTAAATCTAAAAATGATGGGTCACTAAAAAAACCGTCTACATTCCCTTTAAGATAAGAAACCCTACTCCATGAGTTTTATCTGTGTCATATTGTCTGGTGGTGGATTGTCCCCTCTTGAACCTCTATTATGTCTGGGTACATTTAACATCTATATGTTCCCTCGTTCATAGTGAATCTATAACTCTCCAGGATACTAGGATACTAGTTTTTATATTCTTAGATAAATCATTCTACCTACTCCTTGCTCTTCAGGATACTAGGATACTAGTTTTTATATTCTTAGATAAACCATTCAACCTACTCCTTGTTCTCCAGGATACTAGGATACTTGTTCTGATATTCTTAGATAAACCATTCAATCTTATCCTTGTTCTCCAGGATACTATAGATACTAGTTTTTATATCCTTAGATGAACTTAAATTCATTCCTCCTATTTCTTAGATAGAACATATGAACACTTGTCACAAACCCAAATTTTTCTATCTCCCAAATATTTTTTTTTCAACTGATGGTGAAAACCTTTAGTAAATTCCGTACTCTTATATCTTCGCCCTAAACTGTATCATTCCAGGCAAAACCCGTCCGCTATCCAAGTCAACCAGCACACAACCCACCTGGCTCTATATGTCACACAGGGACACAAGCTTAGCTATCAACAAGCTTAAATCGGGCTCTGAATGCCACACAGAGACATAAGCGTACCTATCAAACAAGCTGTTGCTTCAGCTCTAAATGCCACACAGGGACACAAGCGTAGCTATCAAACAAGCTATTACTTCGGTAGTAATACGGGATACAATTACTCTACACTGTAATCAAAGCGGAGTTCTGATTCTAATTAACTATATTTAAGGTTTATAAGTTACAAGTTAAAGTTAAAAGACGTAATTAACAATTCCTACGTCGTTATCAATATCACATGATTAAGGCAATCATGTTGCATATTACAGTACAGTTAAATAGGCTCATTTAAGATGTGCGTATTTATAGGATTAGCTATACATTAACTTTTCCAAATATTCTTCCCTACATTCACTTTTCCAAATCTTCTTCCCTTCATCTCCTTCTTCAAATCTTCTTTCCTAAATCTTTTTTTCCAAACTTCTTCCCTACATCTACTTTTCCTAATATTCTTCCCTATAAATACTTTTTTGAATCTTCTTCCCTTCATTTACTATTCCAACTCTTCTTCCCAATATCTACTTTTCCAAATCTTCTTCCCTACATCTACTTTTCCAAATCTTCTTCCCTACATCTACTTTTCCTAATATTCTTCCCTATCTACTTTTCCTAATATTCTTCCCTAAATTCACTTTTCCAAATCTTCTTCCCTACATCTACTTTTCCAAATTTTTCCCTATCTACTTTACCAAATCTTCTTCTCTACATCTACGTTTCCAAATCTTCTTCTCTACATCTACTTTTCCCAATCTTCTTCCCAACTTCTTTTTTCCATATCTTCTTCCCTACATCTACTTTTCCAGATCTACTTTTTCTAATTTAATTCTGTAGTTCAAATTATCAAAATCTTATACTGTTTTTACCCACATTGGGTACGATTAAATTACATTCATGTCCTGAAATCCAAATATTCCAACAGTTCCATTGTTTGTATGATTATGCTGGAGTTTAGATATCATCTAATAAAACCGTTTACTGGCAGTTGGCCCAAATCTAGAGAATCGTTTTACTCTTATATTTTGTTGTCATCCATCTTTCTATTATTTTTACAAAGGGAAGAATGGGAGGGAGGAGGGGGGGGGTACATGCATGCGTTTGTGGCACTTTTTAAAGGGACTATAAGCGCAATTTCATGGGACCATCCATTCAAAGATGGCAATGCCTGATTTACAACGGTACCCTCTAAAGCTTGGTCTGATCAAGTACGAAATAGAAGTCCATGTTTTTGTTTACGAAAGCTGTTTATCTCAATTTATGATTTCTCTGCAATAGTGAAGAGCACATTTATATAACTTATGAGAAAGATTAAAGAAATAAAGTGGATTTAAAACAATGTTATCTTCAAGAATTTTATCAGATTTAGGTTTCAAGGAACCGGTGTAAATCGGGCATTGAAATTACGCGTACAGTCCCTTTAAGGGAAAAGCTACAATCTAATTGTCTAAACCATCTTCCTGTAAGCTATAATCTATATTTCTCTATGTGTTTATATATCTATCTCTGCAGGGTTTATTTTCTGCAAGAAATTATAGTATTTTCTACAAGTTTATTGATCTAATACATCTCAGCCAGATCTTTCTAGCTAAACATTTATATTCTACCTTTCTTTAATAATATCATAGTATTATTTATGCAGTCAGGGCGTTAACCATTCCATTTTATAAAAACAATTACAGCTTTCAGAGGTTGCTTTCAGCCCGCCATTTTTTCTACTAAATATATGTTCAGTTTTTCCTGTTTACATTGGTATCCAAAAAATGAATTTTAAATTTTAAATTTCGATTAGTTATAATCTGTCCAAAAAGAAGATTTTTTTCTTCAGAATTGAGACATGTACTTGAGTGATTACAAACAAATTTAATTCTTCATATAGACTAGGGGTGTAAACAAGAGTGGAACATGGAGGCACTGCCCCCTTACTCAAAAATGTACAGTTAATTCTTTTAAAAGCTTAACTTAACAACTCCATATTTATTTCCTTTTTCAACTCATCAAGTTTCTATCAGAAGACTTTCAGTGCAGACCAATGACCAAAATATGTATGTATATATCTACTGCTAGATATTTAGAAACATAAATTCATATATTTCATGATGATATATAGATAGCTAGAGCTGACTAGTGACTAGCCCAAGAGAAAACATAAATTTATACATTTGATGATGCTATAAAGATAGCTAGAGCTGACTAACTAGTCCAAGAGTAAATATAAATTTATACATTTCATGATGATATAAAGATAGCTAGAGCTGACTAGTGACTAGCCCAAGAGTAAATATAAATTTATACATTTCATGATGATATATAGACAGCTAAATATATGTTTCGTAAAGACAGGATTTACTACGACTTGTCAAGGAGCAAAAGGGCATCATTTATATTAATATATACAATCTGCCGTATATACCCTTAGACAACTAGACTTTTAGATATATTGTTATAGATAGATAAATAGATAGATAGATACATAGATTTAGATAGATATTAGGATAGATAGATAGTCTAAGAAAACGTTGATATTTTAAATCCTTTTGCCAACACAGTTGACTGATTATAAAGGCTAAAAAAAGTTTTTAAAAAATATTGTACTTCTTAATGTTAGAGCATTGTAACCAGGTTAAAAATAGTTATCAAATCAGTAATAAGATGGTACTTCATGTTTCTTTATAGAAAGCTCGTTTTCTATTTCTGGGAGTATAATCCCCCCCCTCCCCCTCCAACCCTTGAATAATAAATGGCTAAATCAGTATGTATTGTGCCTGAACGCTGCTGGAAGAATATTCCCAATCTGGCAGTTCTGTAGATCAAGATGTCGTATTTCAGATTCACTAAACAAATCAAGGGGTAATTATTTTCCTTAGCACCCCCATTGTGTATTGTATATTTAACTGAAAGCGTAGTCCTGTATTGTATGTTTACCTGAAAGCGTAGTCCTGTATTGTATGTTTACCTGAAAGCGTAGTCCTGTATTGTATGTTTACCTGAAAGCGTAGTCCTGTATTGTATATTTACCTGAAAGCGTAGTCCTGTATTGTATATTTACCTGAAAGCGTAGTCCTGTATTGTATGAAGAGGGTTCCCCTGAAGGGAAGTAAAGTTCAACCAGGCAAAGTTACTAAAAAAACCACACACCCCTCAACACAACATTCACAATTTAAATACATTTTTCTTTTAATGAAAATGGACAAAATTAAAAAAGAAACGGAGGATAAAAATCGCAAAAGCGTAAAGGAAAAATAGTACGGCACTAATTCAGTTTCTGTCCACGATTTAGCTTAATTACAGCTATGAAATTGTGTTTAGGTTTCTACTTTGTTCGAACCTCCTTTTAAGTTACAATTTGCTACTGATAGCCTTGATAAAGATTAAAGTTTAAAGTTATGGGCAATGGGCATGGATCCTTAAATTTAAAAACTTAAATTGGGTCAATATTATCAAGACATGCTTAGTTCTTCTCAGTTTAACGTGACGCAATGGAAATATGATTTGTTCTCTCTAGTTCAACGTGTTAAGATTTAGACTTGCGTGAAGATTATTAGATTAACGTGCATGAGGTGATGAGATGGGATGGGTTTGCCTGAATTCATTTTTCTCCAGGGTTAGAATCCGATTGTTTGCCAGGTTCATTCTATCCAGTCTCATTCTCTTCTTGGAGAAGGTATCCTCAATCCTTTCAATCCTATTCCCAGACAAATCTAAAAAATAATTTAAATACAAAAACTGAAAAATATTGACCATGGAAAATCTAAAAAGATTGAATCGTATTTGACCGAAATTAAAAAAGAAAAATTAGCTTTTGCTCGAGACTGGGAAGTAACAAATTATACAAAAATCTCTGATTTGAAACCCTTATATCTTTGCAAACAGTGCTGTAAACATCTGATTTTTTAAATTGGGAATTCTGCTAGATAAAAAAGTTTAAGTTTAAGATATAAAATATTAAATCATCAGATTGCAATAAAAAGGAATGAGAAAAGTCTTGGTGGCGAGTAATCTGAGCCCGCGATTTAAAAGCTTCGACTCGGGTCGTAATTCCTTAAACCCAGCTTTAAGACTCAATCTTAGACCCTACTCTGACGACAGCTTGTGTCGCGTAATTGAAAGCTGCAAGAACTTAGTCTCGACTTATGGAGTTAGGCCCAATTAAAATAAAACCAATCTTGGTTGGTTTTAATGGAGAATAAGGCTCAATGTGGAGTCTTGTTCTCATCAAAACCCGGAATGCGCCAATTCCTACCATGAAAATCCGACAAATAGAATATTAAACCGGTTTTATGAACTCGATTCTTTGGAAAATTAGATGCAACTTAAATCCGAAAGCTCAAGCCGTAAGTAAGGCCCAACAACAGCTTAGACCGGAGTCGTATTTTCTTGATTTTTTTAAATCACCGGCTCAGTTCCTTTAAAATATTTTAGGTTAAATTATATAACTGGTTACCCACAAAGGATGAGACTGTATAAAAACGACCTGAAACTCTTAAATATAACAATTAAAATTTTTTTTAAAAAATTTAGTTTTCTAATAAAGTTTTTTACTGGCTTATTTTGTTACGCGAGCCATGCTGCGTGAAGAAAGTCTGTTTGTCGCCCCTGCGTATTTCTGAGTTTCTCCTGAAGATCTGTACGGAATGTATTGTG